ATGTACAACTGAAGTACCTTAAGAAACCTATGAAATTTAGTAATGTGAATGTTTGTGTATGTTTCACATATAGTAAAAATCAAAGGGGCATTAATTTATGAATAAAATATTTTTAAAAAGCATAAAGACATGTACTTACAGTAGTATATTTATGTCAAGAGAATTATTAAAGAAAATAAGAGAAACTGAGTATTTTGGGTAATTTCATTTAAAATTGCTAATTATTTAATTTTAAAAAGCAACTTTGGAGACTAATCCAAAACTACAAATAATCAGGTACATTGTATATATTTAAAGATTGTTGTTCATATTTAAAAAGGTGATCAATTGTAGAGGAAGATGCTTAATTCAAAGGATGGAAAAGGAACCTTTGTACCTAGGGTGAGTGTTAGAAAATCCAACTAACAGCCTGACTTTATTTCCCAATGTACATGCTTTCCAATGTTCTAAAGAGAATTATTTCTAGGAAAAGAATGCCAAGCTCAAGCATCTAATTTTATTCCCAACTAAAAATAAGACATCCCTTTTCCTCTGAGAGAGGGATATAAAAAAGCAAACTAACTGAATTAACTGAAAAAATATGGGGAATTACTCTGAATTACTTAATGACTCTAACTGGTGAAGTTTTGAGTTTCTTTTACATAGGGCTAGTTTGAACAAAATGGAAAAAGTCTAACTCAATGATACCCATCATGTTACCAATTCTCTTTGCCTATGGTTTCTGGGTGTGCCTTTCCTATTTTTAACTTCAGGTACAAAATCAAAGTTTATCAATTTCTATTGTGAACACTTTCCTGAAATGTACTTCCACCCAACAATCTATTAGCAAATATAGCAGAAGGTATGTGTCTTGGTTATTTTTCTCACTGCTGACAAATATCTGACACCCAAAGTTAAAGAAGGAAAGGTATATTTGGCTCACAGTTTGTAGGGGTTTCAGTTCATATTTGGCTGGCTCCCAAACAGGGTGACATGGCAGAGGAGCATCACAAAGGAGAAACAGTTCATGGCAGGCAGAAGGCAGCAAGCAACAAGCAGCCAGAAAACCCACTCCTTATAACTTATCCATGCTAAACACCCTTAGGGCAGGTAGCTCTCACACACACAGGGTGGAACAGCCTTAAACCTAGCACTGCTCCATGAATCAATCCCAGCATCACATACTCTATATTCAGAAACCTCTGAAAAGCCCCACCAATGACCTCAGGAGGCTTTGGTAGGACATCTAACAAATGGTAGATACAAGCCATAACAATATGATGCAAGGCACAATTTCTAAGCTCAAAGAGATTATAATGTCAGTTGGAAGACATGTGAACTGACATACATTCAGATCAAGCTAGCCCTATAAATACAAGTAGACAAGTATGCCTCTGGGAATTCCAAAGGAAGGACTGGTAAGTTTGAGAAGTAGTGGAATTTGAGCTGGGCCTGAAAAGACAGGTGAGTTCACATAAGCAAGCAAAAAGGGAACATTTTAGATTGCAGCAACAAAACATACAAACAAGAAGAAAAAGAAGGAAAAGGTTTATGGTACACAGTTCAAGGTAAGACAATAAAAAATAAGTCATAGTTAGAGGAAAGTTTGTAGTTCATCTTTTTTTCTACCTCCAATATATCTATGAGGTACGCATTCTCCCATCATTTACAGGAGCAAGGGGTAGCAGTAAAGATTTTCACAGGTTAAGAGTCACGACGCTAAAATTGGTTTAGGAAGAAAAGCAAGAAAGAACAAAGTAAGCACTTACAATCTGACTAAATTTTTAGATGTTATGTGATAAGGGTGGCAGCAATGAGAAAGAAAAACACTGATAAAAATACTAAGTTCAAAAATGAACCCAATTTTTTAAAAAGATAAGACTCATTTTAAACATACTGTCTTTGAAATGATAAACACCAATATGGTTAACTGAGATATGGGACTGGCACTCACGGGAATTGTAGTTTCATAAATATTTGGGAGTCCTCAGCATAGGAATAAACATCTGAGATAAAATGCCCTTTCACAAGTTTTTCTGTTTGGAATTACATCACATTGGGCCTATTTTTTTAAAAATAGAACTTGATAAACACATAGTATACCTCATTTGCCACCAGTCATCATTTTCTGAAATAAAATTTAAAGACCTCTTTAGGAAAAAATTTTGAACCAGGTGTGGTGTCACACTACCTGTAATCCCAGCACTTGGGAGGCTGAGGCAGGAGGACTTCTGTGCGTTCAAGGCCAGACTGAACTACACAGCAAGAACCTGTCTCAAAAACAAAAACAAAAACAAAATAAAACAAAACAAAAAAATTTAACTGAAAAATTTCAAGCTGAGAGGTCATGGGGATGAAGATGGGAAATGAAAATTTAGAAATTATTTTGTAGCTACTCTACTTTAAATAAAATAAAGTAACGTATACAAATATAAAGCAAAAAGCTTGGCTAGGGGGGTAGCTCAGTGAAAGAACTCAAGGTCAGCAAGTATAAGGTCCTGAAGGTTAAATCCCAGCACCAATACGTTTGGTTTTAAAAGTTTTTTGGGCTTGAGTTCATATAATTATCATTTGTGAATTTATTAATAAGGAGAAAAGCAAGAACTCTCAGAAAAGCCAAGTTTGGATTGAAGTCATTCATAGGCCCCAATCCCTTTACTCCTCCTATTACTTGTTAGCACCTCCATTAGAAAGTGGGCTCAGAAAGAATCAGCAAAGCAGATGTCCTTAAATTCTGCTATTCATTGATAGATAATAAAATTGAATAAAATGCCCTTTACCAGAGAAATCAGAAATAAGTACTGAGAGTTGAAATTATGTATTTTAATTATCCATTTTATTCTTACCCTGTGCCTCATCAATGGGTAAATCAGTTCACTAAATAAGTAATAAATCTAGTCATTACCATTTTTGGTAAGAAATTTTATGTTTCAGAGAATTGAAAATCATCACAAAAATGAAGAATTTTAATTCTCTGTACATGTCAAGTACTGTCACTCTTAGCCTAGCACCTTGTTACAACTGACAATACAATGATATTTGTATTGGAGTTAAATGAATAATGAAATCTACTAACCAACGCTTTAGTTAACCTAATGTTACCTTTTCAATGAATTCAACACTGACCATTACTACTTGGGCTTTACTAAGCATGCCCCAATATGCCTTATATTTAGCACCCTCTAGAGAAAAATCCAACAGTTTTGACTTCCTATGCCAATCATATAGTTTGGATTTCACAAAGTTTAAGGTTAAATATATATCTTACTATCATGACAAAGAACAAGTGTACCACAGAGAAATTGACAACAAACTTTAATAATATTAAGAATAATATATTATATTATTTAATAATTATAAGAAACCAAATATTCAAAGATAACCATTTAGATTGAAAAGAACAATGTAAATTTTAGTGGTCTTTAGTGGCTATTTAAATCTCCATCTTCAAAAGATGCAGTAGGGGGAAATCAACAGGTAGATGTACTCAAATAACAAGTACTGTCTATCACGAGAACCTATGTAGGTAGGTAGGTAGTTAGCGGGTTTCTTTTGGAGACAGGGTCTTGCTAAGTAGTTGAGGTGGCCTTGAACTTACTATATAGCCCAGGCTGTACTCAAACTCTCAGTGATGTTCCTGCCTCAGTCTCCCAAGTGCTGAGATTACAGGCATACACCACCACATCTGGCAAACTTATACACTTTAAAATAGCAACTGGCTAAATTTAGCAGCTGTCTGGGACTGTCTCAGTGACTATATACCTATTTCTTCAGAGTAAGAAAATTTCGTAGATCTTATCTTCCATTCTCAAACTATTTTCAGAAATAACAGCTTAGTCAATGATTCTTTTATATTTAAGAAGCTTAAAAACTGCACAAAAATAATGTAATTAAGTAACTTGTCCTCCCACATCTAATCTCACTACCAGAAAGAAACATATTGGTGATGATCTTCTGACTTTTGCATTGCTTTTAGGAAAATTTCAGTAAATATAATAAATGCATTCATCTATCAGAATTCAACTACCGAAAAGAAGCCTCTCTGGTTTCTTTAACCCTTCAGTAAATCATTTTCCCTATCCTAGCATAATTCACCAGACAGACAATTTCTAATGAAGGTACCATGTCAAAATAAAACATTGCGTTTAACACATTAGACCTTTTGCCTATCTAAAACTATTAATACAAACAGTGAAATCCAACATACAATAACACAATCAAAAATGCCATCTATGCACTCTTAACTGGTAGCTGGTACCAGAGCTTCTACATCCAATCTCCTATTATGTGTCAGTGCAGCATTGAGGAAATGGTACCCAATAACATGGCCACATGCATTGCTTACTGCTTAAAATAAAATACTGCCCAATTTCCCATGTTTTAAAGTTTGAAATATCTCATCTTGTATCATTTCCCAGAGAGAAATAGTTTTAGTTATCTTTTCTATTTGTAAAATGAAACCACTTAACACAACACATGGGTGGAAATGAATTAAATCTCTTTATGTCAAAGTCAAGATATCCTGGTTTCTAAGTAACTCATAAAGTGTATTTTAAATTATTATGCATCATCTCCCACCTTATTAGTATTATAAGAAACAATCTTTGAAAATATTAGGTCCCATAGCTAACAAAATCTCACATGTATCAAAAAGCAATTTAGTTTTTCATGATGATGATGATGATATAATGATCTCATTTAATTTAAGTGGTATAACAACATTCACATCAACAGTCATTCAGAATTAAATAATATAATATACAAGTAAATATCATTTAAAAATTATTTTCAAACCTAGAAATCTAGGCTGAAAAATACTGCTTTCTCATTGCAGTGTAATCTCTTGGGCCAAAATTCAAAGCAAAAACAATCATGTTATAAAAGATAAACATTTATATTATAAAAATATTAGCTACTTCCTAGACCTAATACTTTATCCATCAAATAGTAAATGACTCTATACATTTAAAACAAATATTCCTAAAACAGAAGTGGACTAATACATTTTATAGCTCACTCACCTGAACCTCACTTGTCCTCTGTTTAATAGTATCTTCTTTCTCCTTAAGCTCCTGTTCCACATTATTCTTTTCCCTGGAAGACCAGCAAACAATGCAAGAATATTTGAGAACATCAGCTACACCTGGTATTGTTATCCATCCTAATCCTGAATCACTTTTTAAATACATAGTGAAACATTCAATAATTAAATGAAGGGCAGATATTTCTACCCTCTCTTAATTATTTATGGAATGGAAATCAATATAGACTTTGTAAAAAAAAAATCGCTTCCTCACTAATATGTGGTAAAACAAGAATAGATTAAAAAAGGAAGAAGAGAAAAATAATCAATGAAACACTCAGGTTTCACTGACCTCACTGTTGCTATGGAAATACTGTCCAATGGAAATTGCTGGTGAAGAAAAGGAGGGGTTGCATCAGCTCTGTAAGCTTAACCCTTAAGCATCACTGTCATATTAAATGAAAATGGCTAATAGAAACAGTGAACAATATTCAGGAAAAGGCCATTTGCTGAAGTGTTAACTTCCCCTTAAATCACTAGCCCACATCAATTTCAGAACGCAACAAAACAGAAAACGGAAAAGATTGTTAGTACAGATAATTCTATCAAGTATCACATGTGCTCAAAAAAGCTATTTTGAGATCACCTACTAACACAATCAAATATGTAAAACAATGTATATTACATCTAAAAAGGATTACAGTAGCATTTATTTCTTCTCAAATTAAACACACAAGGCTCTACTCTTACTCTGAAATATCACCTAATTTCTTCTATGCTTTGATCAGATCTGGGTTCCTATGAATGAATCTCAAGCAATTTTAGATTCAGAATTCAAAAATAAAACTATTTCTTTTGATGTAATAAATTTAAATGCCCATGTTTAACAAAATCTGTGTTCATGCTCTCTCTCTCTCTCTCTCTCTCTCACACACACACACACACACACACACACACACACAGCTCTCACCCCTTTCTTTTGTACAAAAGGAGAGAAAAAGCCTATAAAATTCTGCATGGGGAGGGGGCTTTAAAAGATATCATGGAGAGAGAACAGCATGTAAGAAGTCCTCCAAATGTACTACACAGCTTCTCTTTATAGCTTGATTACATTTCAATTTCTATCCCAGACATAATCCAAATGTTAAGCTCAGGCTCCATTTAGCTCTAGCACAAAGGAAAGTGGGACAAATATATGAAAAGGTGAAACTTAGGGGATAAACTGCATGCCTTATTTATATCTCTCACTTTTTTGGTGATTTTTAAATATAGACAAAATCAAATTGTTTTGGATATGTAAGCACAATGATCTTAAGATTCAAATAGAAGGAAAAAAAGCACATAAATAAATCTGCTTGTATACTGTTACTTTTAAACACTTGAGATGGCCAAGGAGCTCACTAACCGTTTGTCAGACGGGTCGCATTGTGGGTCGCGATGTCTTGGAGATTTTAAACAGTCCCTTACCATGCGAATCATTGTTGTAGCCTGCTCCTTCCATCCCTCAATTACTTATTATGCAAAGTCCATCCCCCACCTCCAACCCTTATCAAATTAGGTAAAATTGAAAAATAGAAAAACACAAGGGAAAAAAATGTTAAAATACCAAATTCTGCAAGCTCAATCTTGGAAATTTTTTCTTTCCTCTATGTGAACAGATGAATGTATTCGGTCCTGCTGCAGTGTGTCAGAAATAAGTCACATGAAAATCTAGCCCCCTCCCTCTAACCCAAATCCTCAGCGGCTTTCCACACAAGGTCAATGTCTCTTCAGCTCCATTTCATACAGGAGATGGTAACCGACAGGAAACATGACAGTGTTGCAGGTCAGTGCTGCACACCGGGCTGGGTATGCATGTTTCAGTTCTTCCTGCTCTGCTGCTAGCCCCTGTCCTCACAGTGTGTGCTCAGAAGGCCCAGAATACATGGGCTGCCTGAAGACGGGGAGCTAACTTAAAGTAGCCACAGCAGAAGGATGGCAGAGCACAGGAAGGCAGCTAGCCTGGGGAGAAAGGACTTTCTGCTCTAATCCATAAACACAGTCCATGTCTGAGTAAAATGGAGGAAGCCTTCAAATTTCTTTTCATAATTTAAGAGGGGGTGGGTGGGAAGTTAGCAATGGTGATGTCTCCAAGTGAACCCTGAAGATCATTCCTAATTAAATTAAATAAAATATGGGAATTTTTAGGTATTAAGTGTTCCTAATACAGAGATCAATGAAATTAGCTTTCAATTGTACTTATCTAGTAAAATTCTGGTCTCACAATTCCCTCTATAGTTAAAACAAAGCACTATAACATACACTGCTAAAAAGAAAACAAAAAATTAAATGTTCAGTTATGTCACTGTCTATAAAAAGCATTTCCCCCATTGTCAGACTGAAAATGAAATAATTTTCTCATTGACTCAAAGATTATAATTCCAGAGATGCTGAATTGTTACTTTGTTGTTTTGTGATGGCTCTTAACTTCTGCAACTAACCTCTAATTTCAGGCAAGTAAAAATATCTAAACATAAATTTAGGTACACAAAAAATATCTGGCCAGGGCCAGGGATTTAGCTCAGTGGTGCCGCCACCTGCCTTGAAAATGCAAGGTCCTGCATTTCATCTCCAGTACCGAAATATTTCTTACATTCTCCCCTCTTTTGAACAATATGTCTTTTCCAAAGGAGATGTATGAATAACCTTATAAAGCATTTTAACATCAATAATTTAAAACTTAATTCTCTTTTCAAGGATCTGTGCCAAATTAAAAATAGTACTTATACGTAGTTTCCCAAGGAGCCCACCAATATATGCAGATAAGAAAGATATAAGATACATTTAAAAAATAAGTTTACAAGCATTTTTCCCAAACCATCACTTACCTGAATATTATGACAGAAAGAGTTAATGCCTTCACCTTACTAATTTCCAGAAAAGGGAAAACAAATGATCCTAATCACCTTCTATTTTAATCTATCTCTATGGCCCTGTTCACCCCCAAGGAATTCACAAGTACCAAAGCTATAAACAGAGATAGGCGCTGTGCAGTGTGCCACACACCTGTAGAGAGTCTGAGGCAGGAAGATTGCTTAAGAGCTTGAGTTCCAGACCATGCTAGGGCCAGGGATTTAGTTCAATGGTTCCACCTGCACTTGCAGGCACAAGGTCCTGAGTTAAATCCCCCGCATCAAAACAAAAACAAAAACAAAAAGCAATTAAATTGGGTAAGGGGGTGCATGCCAATAATCCCAGCTACTTACATTTAAGGCCAGCCTGGGCAATTTAGCAAGACCCTGTCTTAAAATAAAAGGGATTGGGCTCTTGCTTAGCATTAGTGAGGCCCAGGTATTTCAAAGGTTGACAGGTCAGATTCCATATAACCTAGTATCTGCCAAAAGGCAAGGCCTAAGGTAAGTTTTCAGAAGCTCAAGGTTGATAACTACATAAATCTAATATCAAGTAGTCAAAAGCTATTCACAAGGACAGTCAGGCCGAGGAACTTCGAGTCCATGCAATTTGCTTTCATTTTCCCAGGCTCTGTTTTTGGGGAAAAAGGAATGAGCCATTTGTCTTAATTTGACACAATTCCAGTATTATCATGGAGAGGATTAAATCACCTTTAAAGTACTTTGCAGTACACAGTTTTACGTTTCTTTTAAACATAAGCATCCACTGTTTTCTAACCAAAATGAGTAAAATCTAGAAACCATTGGAAACTAGAAAGCTGTGAAAACTCACAGAGCTATATTTTTCAATCTTGCAGCTTATTTATAAAAATCCTTTTGGTGCACATTTAACTCTAAGAATGTCCTTATTATTAAACAGCTTTACTACCAATTTCTCACTAGCAAACAGAGAAAAGCATGTTATTTATTCTCGTTATGTAAGTCTTCAGTTACCATTTGGGTCTTTCAGAGATCAAGAAAATGATCAAAAAAGTGGAGAACTGGATTCTAACTTGTCTGTGCTATAAACATTTTTTTCTGACTCTGATTATGTCATTTGACTTTTCAGAGCCCTCATCTTAGTTTTCACACATAAATGCTAATATCTCTATGACCTTAGGCTTGGAAGGTAAAATGTACAAGATGTCATGTAATTAGGAAAAAGAAGGCTTTAAGTGCAAATATTAATTTTACTTAGAATTTTAAATAATGGAATAATTTTTAAATTTGTGAAAAGGACATATGGTTACAATAGAGGTTAGAAAATTAATATAGCTATAGAGTATAATTATAATCACAAGTCATTTCTGCTTCAAAATCTTATCTAAATATTTAGAATTATCTAACTATTCTCTACCTTTGGAAACTCAATATATGGTTTCAATGCATAGGATGTGAAGAAAAATAATCCAAAATTTAAAGACTGACTCTATCACAGATCATCTTAAGTCACTGCGGTAACAGCTGTTGGTTCTGGCTGACCTTCCCTTCTTCTACAGCCCAGCAATTTTTCTTCAGATGACGACTCTTCTTTCTCCCTCATCTCATGTTTTTCTGCTCACACAGTTCAAATAAAAGATGCCATCTTTTGGTAGACTCTACCTCTAAGCAAGAAATGGCCAGAGATTGGCTCCTGACCCAAGCCGGACATACCAAAGTACCTCATCTCACAATTGTAACTATTAATTTAAAAATGGACCTGTAATCAAAAGTCTAAGATGACTTTATTTGAAACTAGAAAAAAGTACTGTTAACGATATATTTACTACTACAATTTTAATCATAATAAATTACAGAGGTTAGCATTTATTAAGCATGATTACTGCTACATGATCAGCACCTTACATAAATTATCTCATTTACTCTTCTTTTAGTTCTTTAAGACAAGGTCTTGGCTAGTTCAGGCTGGCCTTGAGCTCACTATGTAGTCGAGGCTGGCCTCAAACTCACAGCAATCCTCCTGCCTAAGGCTCCCAAATGCTGGGATTACAGTCATGTGCCACAATGCCTGGCCCTCTCATTTAATCTAAGAAAATCATTCCTGTGAAATGATGAAGATAAGCAAGTATGAGTCCAGATGTTGCTGGAAGTTATTATTCCTACTTAAAAATTAAAAATTTCATATAAAGAAGTTGAGGTGAAACACAGAAAGAGTCTTGTCAAGGCTTAGGTCCTGGTTCCTGTCACCTCTTTTGATAGTTAATTTTGTGAGCTAAATTGGCTAGGCCACAGAACTCACATGTGGAGACAACAGCCTAGACATTGGCATTAAGGTATATTTTAGGTGAGATTAAAAAATGAGTAGACTCCTGAGTAAAGCAA